GAGGGCAGCCGCGACGGGCAGCTGCGGGGGTGCGGGGGCAAGGAAGCGGGGGACTGAAGGGAGGCAGACAGACACTCGCATGTCTTGAAACTGGTGGGAGAAGTCAACACAGGATGAAGCGTGACCTCTGTGGGACACGCTGCTAGTGGAGATCTGGGGTTCCAGGCAATGGCAGCGGGGTGGGAAAGAAAAATGCACACAGGCGTGGTGGATGCTGCCCAGGCCGTGGGAAAGGGGAGCTCTCTCTCTGGGGAAGTTCGTGCCTACTCTTGACACCACTGTGCCCTGAACTGAGTCCCTTCCTTCACCCTCAGGTGGAAATGACAAATAGGAGCTTAGAGCGCGACTATCTCAGGGGTACTTGCGCCTTCTCAGGATCCCACTTTTCCATTCCCTCCCCTCCCTTCTCAGGGCTACATTATATTCTCTTCTAGGATCTTAAGGTCTCCTCCTCCAGGAAGACTTCCCTGACTTTCTGCCCTCTGAGAGTTGAGACTTGTCCTGCGGCCCCCAGCACCTATCACACTGGGTGTAAATTGCCCCGAGTGACCCAGCCCCTCAGTGGGCTGGGGGCCCCTGGGAATGTGGCCTGCGTCTTGCTTTCCAGGGTATCCCATACTTCCCAGCTCAAGAGAGGGTGGAAAGCCGGAGCTCTCCATGGGCGTGGAGCCAGCTCTCAGAGCACGGCCCTTCCCCGGGCCTGCGCTGCTCCAAAGGCTTGTTTTGGGCTTGGTGAGGCGGAGCTGGAGGCAGAGGTGATGCGTCTGGGGTCAGTGCTACTGCAAGGCAAGGGGGTGAGGGAGGAAGGAAGGGACAAGAAAGCTGAAAGCAGGCCCCCTGGGGGGGCCTTCCCACCACAGACTCCAGAAGCGAGCAGCAGGAATTTGCCTCTCGCCAGCCCATGCACTGTAACCACCATTTGGAAAACAAGGAATGACAGGCTGTTCGATTCTGCTGAGGGTCTGCGTCCATTCATTCCATAAATATTTGTTGAGCACCTCCTATGTGCTGGGCGTTGTTCTAGGTGCTGGGAAAATAGCAATGAAGAAATGTGGTGCTGCCCAGCCAGCGTGGCTCAGCGGCTGAGCGTCGACCTAGGATCCAGGAAATCAGGGTTCGATTCCTGGTCAGGGCACATGCCCGGGCTGTGGGCTCGATCCCCAGCGGGAGGTGTGCAGGAGGCAGCTGATCAGTGACTCTCTCACCATTGATGTTTCTCTCTCCCTCTCCCTTTCTCTCTCTCAAATCAATAAAGATTTATTTAAATCTATATATAGTGCTCCCTGGCAGGGTAGCTCAGTTGGTTAGAGCGCTGTCCCAATAAGCCAAGGTTTTGGGTTCGATCTCCGGTCAGGGCACATACAAGAGTCAACCAATTACCCGGCAGGTTGAGCATCACTCTATGAACCAGGAGATCGCGGTTTGATTCCCGGTCAGGGCACATGCCCGGGTTGTAGGCTTGGTCCCCAGTACAGGGCATGCAGGAGGCAGCCGATCAATGACTGTCTCTCATGATTGATGTTTCTATTTCTCTCCCTCTCCCTCCCTCTCTGAAGTCAATAAAAAAAAACATTAAAAAAAGAGAATCAACCAATGAATGCATAAATAAGTGGAACAACAAATCGATGTTTCTCTCTTCCTTTCCCTCTTTCTCTAAAATCATTAAATAAAAATTAAAAAAAGAAAATACGGTGCTCATATTTTGAGGGGTCGGAGAGGTAAGTCAGGTGACAGCACAAGTTATGAAAAAGTAAAGCAGGATAAGTGGCTTAGAGGAGAATAAGCTGGGGAGGGGCTGTGTCACATAGGTTGGTAGGAAGGCCTCTCTGATGCCTTTTGAGCAGACACCTGAAAGGAACAACAGAGGAAGCTGGTGGTTATACAGAGTAAGAACATTCCAGGCTAAAGGAACAGCATGTGCAAAGGCCCTAAGGCTGGAGTGTGCTGGGTGTGTAAGAGCAACTGCAAGAAGGTCAGTGTGGCTGGAGCAGAGGGAGGGAAGACAAAGTGGTTAGAGGGATGACAGGGAACTGGGTCGCTTAGCACGCCATGGTAAACACTCAGGGTTTTACTCCGAGTGCGGTGGAGAGCCCTGGCAGGACATGAGTAGCGGAGTAGGGGAGACGTGATCTGACTAAGGGTTCAACAGGATCCCTTCAGCTGTTGGGTGGAGAACTGACGCAGAGTGGACAAGGGTGGCATTGGGGAGACCAGTTAGCATGCCACCAGTGCAACAGTCTGGGAGTAAGATGGTGACGGTTTGGGCTAGGTGGTGGCAGTGGAGGCGATGAGAAGCGGTAGATCTGGATCTGTGTTGAAGATGAAGCTGATGGGTTTTGTTGGGGGTTCAGTCCACATTCAAGGAGAGGTGATGAGTGTGCAGGGATTGTCAGGAATCGTGTTAGAGGTGCCTGCTTCAGCACAGAAGCAATTGGATCAAGTGCACAGTACAGGGGAGAGGTCCAGGCTGCAGATGTCACATGGAGGTTATTGCAGTGGGCCTGGGTGGGAGCTGGAAGTGACTGAGACAGGGGTGAGAATGGGACCAGGGACTGACCCTGGAGCACTGCGATGCTTGGAGGTCAGGGAGATGAGAAGGAGACTGCAAAGGCGATGGAGGGCGAAGGCCTTGTGTCCCTAGGCCAAGAGAGGAAAGTGCTTGCAAAACAGGGAGGGATCAGCTGGGCAAAAGCCATGGAGAGGTCGTGCAAGAGAAGGTCGAGAACGGAACCTGGGATTGGGCAGTGTGGAGATCATCTTACCAAGCCCAGTCTCAGTGGAAGTAAGGGGGTTTTAGACAGAACGGGAAGCCAGGAAGTGGAGGCAGATGTACACACTTTGGAGTGTTGGTGTAAAGGGGCACCAGCCTGTGTCTGAGCGTCTTAAGTTGTTCTGCATCAGGCAGCTCTTAGCTCTCTCCCTCCACCTCTTCCCTGCAGAGGTCTCCAGTCTCCCAATCCCCCCCCCCCC